AATTCTTCGAAAATGTATAGTTCGGTACAATACCAGTACCCTTATGATGATATAAACCGTCATCACTCATAACATGGGGATACAACTTGCAGGAAACTCTAGACAACTTGATGGCTGCATTAAATACTACCTGGGAATTAGTGTTTACTCTTTTAATTTTCATTTAATACAACTATAAAAAGAGGCTGAAAGAGATTGGAATGCATCATGTCGTAAGCGTTATGATATGAATGTTTGTGTGTCAGAAAAAACAAGATTTTTTACTAATCTCCAGACAATCGTTGAAAAGAAAAGTATTTTAGAACATAGGATACATAGGATGGATAGTCGAAACGAATGTGTTGACAGCCCTCAATCATACTCCAAAAGTAATTGCAGGAAAAGAAAAAAGCATAGTCGCACATTCAGGAATGTGAATAGTAGCAGGTATGTAATCCTGGCTACGCTGTTCTCCAATACGAAATTGTTGAATTGTTTCACTCAGAATCTACAGAATATGACCTTATAATCCAAATGTATTAACGTCAAAAGTTTTTGTAGCAGCGTCTGTAACAGAGAAGGTCTTGTTTCCTGCCAAGTCTGGCGTAGAATCGAGATACCGCTCTTTCTAATGTAAGGTCTATATATGTATATTTGCTTTCATAAGTTTATAATCCGATAATGTTTACATTTTTGTATATTATTTGAATGGAAATAATGTTACCGGTAACCTTTTCGCAGTTTCATACACCATCAGCTAAACTAATCCACCCAGCATGTTCAATTTCTCAGCACGCTTTACTGCTAACGCCATCTACTATATCTGTAAATATGAATCCCTATCAACTAATACATTTTAGGAAGCAAAAAACAAAATTGCAAAACAATCAAATTCTACGTTTATTATCTTGGAAGTAATGTGTCTGCTCCCAAGAGCTATTTGTGCGATAAGATGTAAGGAAGAATGCAGCGGAAACCTGAACAAAAAACTTTAATATGGCCAAAAACAAACACAAATTAACAATAAACAAAATAGATAAATTAAACTGATAACACGAATAGAGTAAGGACCGGGGAAGAACTACTTCGGTTAGTTACATCGTGACACTTGGTGACATCCGACAAGGCGATAGTCACAACCTATCTTTGTTCTACTTATTAATGAACAAAATAATCGAAGAAGTGATAAGTTTAAACCTTTTCCAAAAAAAATTACATAATCACCAACTCTGAGAATAACCCACAAAGACAACTACACAAGTTCTATCAACTGAGCGAAACCTGAATATGGCTGTACCTACCTCAAGTCTCAATGCATGGTGATAGCTGATAGCAATGGAGCCAACAAGATGTAAGCTGGCAGTCAACAACACTCCCCTCGAACAAATCATGGAACTTTCCTCTTTCCTTTCATGGAACACTACTTAGGTGTTCATATCCCAAGCCTTCACGATACCGTACAGGACCTGAGATGTCAGACCCTCAAAGCATCTGCTATTTCAGGCTGCCTACAAGATAATTTATGATCCGCTTGATCATAATTGATCATGATTGACTTGTCTACAAGTTGGGCAAAAAGTTGCAGCGAAACTACTGCCGACTACTGGAATCATATCTTTCTGATAACGAGTTTAGTGTGTCACATGAGGGGACATACTCAACATTTAAAACGATCATGGTTGGAGTTCCACAAGGCAGTGTCTTAGGACCACTGGATGCCCCATTCCTCAAGCAAAATATCTCGGTATCCATCTTGATGACAGACTAAACTGGAAGCATCATGTTAGACTGAGCAGATTAAACTCCAAAGTAGAAAAATATACTGGTTAGTCGGTAAAAGCTCCCAACTTGGTCAGCGATCAAAGACACTACTTTATCAGTCCATAATTAAGCAAGAATTACATGATGACCTCAAAATCAAATGGGTCTACGAACTATTCTAAGATTTATCAGTGAAGCATGAAAAAGCCTGAATCCCAACGTTGAAGCTATTCTTGAACAATAGGAACTCAGAAGATTGAAGATAACTAAATCTCACGAACTTTTATAGTATGAAACTAAATTTAGTTTAAGCAAGATTTAATCATGGGAAAATGCACACTTAGCCCGTATTCGCTTTGCTTGTTATTCAGGTACAATTTAATAGTAATGATAAATTAATTGTAACTTAAGGTTGTACTAAGTATGTCCAATACATACAATACATACAATGAACAACAGATCCGATGGTCTAGAGAGATAGGAAGAAGAAAGTTTATTACACTTACCATTACACTGCTGATTGTTTCTCTAATAGTTGTGTTAATTCAACACTACGCATGCGGAACCCATGTACGTCACTTCTTGTGCAACATTTGAAAAAGTGAATTTATTGTTATTACACCCTGTATTATCCATCTTGTTATTTTGTTTATTATTAATTAACGCTACCGTGATAGCGTTGCTGGAGTTGCTAAGTTCTTTGGGTGTAACAACAAATAATTAAATCTCTACTAGTACGAAATCATAAAAATTGGCTAAACAAAGTGAAGGTCTTTAGTCCGTCTCCAACGTTCGGTGGCTCCATCGGTTAACCGAAACCCTAAGTAAAACTACGTGATATTTTTGCCTCCTTAATTATCCTGGCGCAGAGACAACCGAAGTGAAGTGGTTAATTATGTATCATGAGCACTTTTTATGTTCTTTTTGTTCTGGTAGTAAGTTCAAATATTTATATTATTATCTAAAGTAATTTCAAATATTATTTATTAAACACTTAACAATATCTACTTTCAACAATCCACCAAAAGAATGTTAAGTGTAAAGCGGAATGTCTATTTTTAAAGCTATAGTTTTGTTAAAGTTGTGTATGAAATTGATCATCAATTTTTATTATCAGATTATAATTTGATGATTACTTTCAATAAAAACTGTGAATAAGTGCACTAAAATCTGAATCCTCAATCAATTAAATTCTATCGAAACAGATACAACGCAATCCTTAGCTATAATTTTGTGAAATAATAAAATATATAATATAGTTACCTAAAAATCTAATTGTTATAAAGCACTAACATGTTTACAAAAGTAAGTGCATAAAAGATATTTTATCCTAAGATTTGTCGTCTCATGATTATCGAATTTTGATGTAACATTTGTAGGTCAGATCATCAAATAAGCAAAAACCATTTAGTTTTTTCCAATACACATGACAAAATTATTCAAGTTCTTGATAGATGATGACATCCTCGATTTTCGTTTCTTTTATCATATTATCTTGCATATTTATCATGTTCATTATCTGATTTCAACTTATTTAATCTGGTCTTTTGTTGTTTGACAATCTGAGATTGAAGCATTATTTTAAAAAATATTAAAATCAATCAAATTAGTATTAAATTCCATAATTTTCTTAAATGTAGTATTCAATTTTGAATTTGATGAATACAGTACGTCTAAATATTATTATTTTATTTATATATCAACGCAGAAAAGTTATGTTTTCTTGATCCATTCTATTTATTTAACTCAAGAAGAAACGAAGAAGCAGCGTTTAAAAAATGACTTTCTTTCACAGCGGGAAAATGTTATTCTTTTCTGAAATGACAGATTACAAAACGACCTACAAACTAAACTTGGAGCGAAAATTGAGTTGAGCGTCGGAGCCATTTCGGTCATTCTTCAATTACTTCAAGAAATGTGCCATAGCTCGACCTGCTTCGTTTTATTTAGACTCTTACAAGAAACGTAATAACGTAATAAGTCCCCTCTACTATTTTCATTAAAGAAAAGCGAAAATAATATTTTAGTATCGATTTCCATGAAAGCTATACAATAAATTTTCGATTGGATGACAACTTGTTTACTATTTTAAACATATAAAATTGGTAAAGAATCATTATTGTTATTGGGTTAAGTAGTTCTGATACTTTATGTTTCAATACCTTTCAACTGTCGAGTTTGAATATCTTGCAATTTCAAAATTTAACGACTTTTGTTGATATGTTAATAAAAGAAACACGTAGGCTGTATGTTTGTATATACAGGTGTCCAATTTGTGCTTTGTTCTAAAAACCGTGGTATATTCTTGTCAAGCATTCCGTTTTATAGCTCAAAAAGCACTAAAATCCTACGCATTCCTCTTGAGATGGCACCGCGTTCTGGTCGTCTGTTTAGATCCGTTGGAATAGATCCAGTTTTAAATTAATCTCCGATCGCTACCGGTTTTCTTCGAGACTCGCCCGGGCGTTATCACCGTACGGTCGCAATTATACAGATATCCACTTTAATGCATCTCTATCGTTATGGTTTCATTGAAAACAGAAACGAGGGCCCGACGACGACGACGGAGACTCGCCTCGGAACCTTGCGAGTTATTGGCCGCGATCCGGTCGAACATTTAATTAAACATTGCTCGTTTGCCGGTTTACAGCAAGCCATTCAAATTACGGCCCAGCTCGCTTCAACAAGTAGATTTACATTTACGTTCGGTTTCCTCCAGTATACTGCTTTGTCGTTCTCTTTATCTCTATACTCCAATCGTGAAACGTATAAAGGTTTATTGCGATTTTATTTCTTATCGATGACTCAAATAATAATTAAAAGAAATTTAACAAAAAAAAAAACATTTTGATGACACCCCTGTATAAGCTAAGGAAAATTAAAAGTCAATACAACACACCCAAAAGTAAATAATAAAACTTTAAATTTGTTTAACTGTTAACACATCCTAAACGTTGATGTACAAAGGTCCGGGTTCATCACGTGTGTGATCTGTTGGGATTCCCATCGTTTTTTGCATCGTTCTAATAATTCACCTAAACATTTTAAATGTTTTTTTTTTGAGTTATTCTAACGGAAAATCCAGTTCGTTGCTTAACCCATCATTGAGAATTTGTTTCGTAGCCTAATCCACTATTGAAATCTCCAATTCAAAAATATTGTAATACATACCATAAATTAAAATTTTTATAAATTTGGGCTTATTTATTTTGGAAAAAATTATCTTTACGCATCAATTTTTGAAAATAAAAAGTACTGACCTTTCCTGAAGAACGGAGTCCGCGACATTCCGACCTTACAGCGGCTTGCAAAGCATCCCAGATGAGGCAGGTGAGCAGCGCGTGAGTCGCACAAGTACTGAACAGCATCCCATCACCTGTACCCGGAGTTGAATCTGTTAGTTCTCTTTGCAACCGTCACGAGGCGCTACGTGACAGTGCGATCATTTTCAAGACCGCCCTCCCGGAGTTTGAGCACGCCTCGATTTCTAACCATTGGTTATCCCACGGTGTTATTCCGGGGGTACAACCTATAAGAACATCAAGAGGTCTTCATGGGATAGGATCGAGGTGGATATATTTTTCAATTGTAACAAGTGTCTGGGTATACAAAATAAAATAAGTGGATAATGGGTTTCCAATTCAATGCTAGTTGGATTTTTTTTATTTAATTGGAATAGGTATTGAGATTATATCTTTAGAATTGGAATAAATCACTTCGAAGTAAGTTTTGATAATTGATTTATAGCACTAAAAATGCTATTAATTTCTAGATTAGTGTTATAATTTTAGATAATCATTTATGATGGAATCTGACGGCTACCTTTTAATATTCATCTTGGACCTGTAATAACAAGATAATAAATCAACTCCTCTATAAATAACCAAATTCGTTCGACTTTTTGATGTGTCGTTTCTTCGATTTTATCCTTCGCGTGGTGATATCACCATAAGAAAGGATGATTTCAAGAACATCACGTCCATATACCAATTACTGAGCTCGGTTAATTTAGTTAATTATACATTTTAACCGGTCGTAACGCCCATGGGTAATTATTAGCTTGCAAGATGTTCGGAGATAATGTCCGTGGTATACCCTATATACAAATTAATAACGTCACTGGTGCTTATTAATACATCATGCCTGTTGAGGACGCTCTAATAAGTTATTAGTAATAAAAAGAGACGTACACATGTGAACGTGTTTCCTTGGCGCTGAATTAATGTCTTTACAACACGCCCCTTTTGAATCTTTTGATTGTCCAGGTACACGCAAAGGCGGATTCGAAGAAGACATTTTTACGATGACTTAAATCCTTACGAAGGCAACCTTACCGAAGGTGGTCCGGTAAATTGGATTGCTTTACAGTAATGTAGCAATAAAAACGAAACGATGTAACACAATAGGTGCACACATAAACACCGATTAACCGTGGAGAAGAAGAATAACACAATGAGAAAAATAATGTGTAATAAAAGAAGAAAACGTTAAATTTAAATAAATCGGGACGTTTCCTGTTCGGGCATTTTTAATACTCGTACACTAGGTATAATTTGTGTCGATAGGTGTTAAATTAAACGGGCGGTAAAAAAAATATTGACAGCTGTTAATTGATGCCCAAGACCCGTCCTGGCGGTTAGAGCTCACGGCGGATGCCGTTCTTCTTGTTGAACGTGCCGGACGTCCAATAAAATTTGAAAACGCTGAGTTTGATTGCGTTAATCTAAAGAAGTGTTCTTTATACGATGAATCTAAACGTTCAAACACATTTTGCCAGTCATACCATCACAATTTCAAAAATTCGTATGGAAAATTTACAACTTACTTATATAAATAAATAATAGCCTTAATTAATAAAAAAGTTAACACTTATCAATAACAATGAAATTAGATTTTTGTTATTATAAATTTTGAGTGATTGAAGTCATAAAAAGGATAAGCATTTCTAAACTGTGTATCTAAAAATTATAGCAATGTTTGATGTCTCATCATCTGATTTATCAGAATTGAATGAAATACTGTGGGATTTAGAGCACTTTAAGGAAGCTATTCATAAACAATACTGAATATTCATTTCTTCAAAAAAATAAGGAAAGCTTTCTGATTTTTTTAGAATACAACGCATTTGTTCAATATTCACGATACACGAGGTCTGTACAGGAAATTAATTAGTCAATCGGCGTATTTGTGGGATGACATACATATTTGATTTATTCAAATATCATGAATACTGCAGGGCTTTGAGTGAACCTGAATATGAGTCGCTTTCTCTTAGGTGGTGTATAATACAGTTTTTAAGTTTGCTCTACATATGGGATAGCCGAGATCGAGATAAACACCTGATCAAAAGATAACAAACCCAACCGTGAAACTCTGTACACTGGAAGTAGATACCAAACATTGCGAGTGACTGAATCTTCTTCTTTTTCTTATACTTCCTACTAGGGATAATTCCCTGTTTGTCATGCCTGGTGTTTTGGGTTTTATTCCGTAGACGAAGAGAACGTGCTCTGAGTCTATTTCTTGCGAGGTCGTTCTTGTGGTCTTTTTCCTTCCGGTAGACCACACATACAAATTCTTGCCATTCTCTTCTTTCTGCATGCTCCTTCCACTTCTTTGTTCTGATTTTTATCCATTTAACTACATCTTATGTGTTACATCTTTCTCTAACGGAGGTGTTGGTTAGTTTATCTTCAGTGTAACATGTAATATAGATCTTAAAACTTTTATTTCCATTGCTCTCATCTTTTGCTTAGTCTTCTTTGCCTCTGCTGTTATCTCGGTACCATATGTTAGTATGGATCGCACCATGGCTTTAAATATTTTTATTTTCCTTCTACAAGAATATATTTGTTCACGGCAGTATCCCTTAGACAACCTGCTACCCGTGTCGCTTTTTTGACTTATGCTTGAATTTTTCATCATAGATCTTTATTAAAGATCTGGCTTNTGCGCAAAAGTGCAGTACTTACCGAAAAATCACTTTAAAGTTGCGATTTGACGTTTCTTTTTGGAAGTTAAAAGCAATGTTAAATATGCATTTTCGTATTAAATCCTAATCTTCATATTTTCTGTGCTATTAACATTCTAGCCCCAGTGTTCGCTCTTTCAGATCTTTCGATTTTGTTAATTTTGTGCTTACCCATTTCACTAATAATTTCTTGATTCCTGTTCTTCTATGTTTCAATATTAGCTAAAAATGTTAGTTGCTCAATCGTTAGTTGAGTAAAGATTATTTTTTCTGCACTGCTTCTCAACCTTGGCATGATTGGGTAGTCGGATATTACTCTTTTCCATTGCTCGTTCTTCATTTATGACATATTCACTTGGCGTCATCCGACCATATGAATATTTGTGACTGCTGTAACAATGATAGTTAACGCGACAAACTTGTTTACCAATATAATTGAAGATAATATAAATGAATATATTCTATTGGTTGATATGGCTCAAACCGAAATTTAATGTATGTATTGTTGAATGGAAATATGAAAACCTTCAATGAGTTTCAGTTCTTGTTTGTACTTTGAATACTAAAGAAAATACTTACCACTTAAATTCCTATTTACTTATGATATTATCGTGACAACTGAAATGTGACTTAACTCTTAATTACAGCATTAGATGCATACACATCATAGATTTAGCAACACCAAATTTTTTAAATTTTTTTCGCACCAATGTAAATATTCTACTAAGGTGTCCCAATAATTATACAAACTCTTCTTGATATTGAACCATATGTAGTAGAGATACGAAAGGTTGCACATTTAAAAAGTCTCTCAAAAAATTACATGTATTTACATCATATAATATAGCTAAATCCGAATGTTTAGAACGTTTTTCTCTCTTTGTCAATTTGTCAATCATAGTCCCACCAGGGTGGTTGCTGTCTCGATGCACTATGAATGAGTGCTTTAAGAAGTAATACAAATTAAATTTAGAAGCATCAAATGATCTGCTCTATCATCAGGAGCAAGGGCTGTATCGTTAAATTTCGCTTCTGTGCCAGGTTTAAACCAGTTATTGCACTCATTTTCTCTTTTTACGCACACCAACTTTGCATTTCATTACATGTATTGTAGTAGAGATATAACAGAAATGTACAAAAAAGTGTTAAGACCCACAAACTGAACCAGAATTAGACGTACTATCTTTTGAATAAAGCTTTTTTAGCTGAAATGGGCTTTATGTGGATTAGTTTTCACAATACATCTAAGGCTTTTTTACTGTTTTGTAATGAGAGCTAAAAGACGAAGTTTCTTATCACGTTTTTTCACTACTGCAAAATTGTTACAAAATCAATCACAAGTTTTTGCTGGACTATTGGCTGATGCCAATAGGTCAACAAACAAGTACTGATCTACTAGTACTCCTTGACTGTAGATTTACGATCATGAGTTATGGTCAAACCCTAAACCCTATCATTTTCTGAATTACTTAGATCTTATTAGAAACTCTTGATGCAAAACTGATGTTTTTAGGTTCAATTCAACTTCTAGGTTCTTCAGCTGATAACTTACTCAGACATATCGGACATAGAATTATTTGTGAAATCAGTGGATGATCGGTTTAAATTATTGTCTTCAAGAATAACATTCTGTAACGAAAGAGGCACCATCTCAGCTTCTGAACGAGACCAGATTGGTTGCCGATAAAACAAAGTTTTTTAAACATGGATGTGAACAGTTTTAATGAGAAAGAAAAGCAAACCAAGTACCCAAATCAAATTTATATTCATATATAAATTTGATTAAGATGAAGAATTTGATTATAAATTTATTTATTTTTGGTAAGCCTAATCGCAATATGCACCAAAGATAAAAGAAAACCCAAACGAAAATACTTAAAAAAACACAACTAAGATTTTTAACGCAGATAAATGGAGCATAACAGAACAGGAACTAAAGTAATTTTAACAAGCAATTCTTTGTTATTGTTGATTCCAGCTAAATACGCAGGAATCTGTAGTAACAGCATCTGCATAACTCCTGTATATGTGGTGTTTCAGCACATTGGAGTTTATTTAAGACATGATTGTGTTTTTTTGCATGTAAATTCTGGAGGTATCTTTACATTCTCTAATGTATTTACGCACTACAAACGTAATTTTCAGAAATCATCCAAACTTCTGATTTATTGTATGACTTGAGACTTGAGAATTCATCATTTATATTAACAAAACTTATATCAGTTAAATTATCACAAATCATAACTCTCACGGAACGCTCTGATGATGTATAGAGCTATTTTGATCAAAACCTGTTCTAGAAATTCAACGGCCTTTACATCTTCCGAAACTGTTTCAAATTTCAAAATATTGTGAATATTTTGTAGTTATGAACAAGACAATCA